AAGAAAATCAACTAAGGCAAAAAGGCTCAAGCCTAGATCTTAAAGCTCGAGCCCAAACTCAAGGTGCTCGAGCCCTTGCAAAAGTGATCGAGCCAAAAGTGCGTCGAAATGCCAAAAGACCATAGTTGTTAAAGGCTCAAGGCGCACAAAAGCGCAAATGCCTCCTGGATCCTAAGGTGCAAGGCTAGACGCGCGCCCGACTGAAGCGAGGCGCACGTTGAAGAAAAATAGTTACCGGCACATCCTTGTGGTTTTTGCAAGATAAATTCATAATGAAAAATAGAATTTATTAATTCACAACAAATTTATTAATTAATTTTACATAATTAATTGAATTGCGATCGAATGATATATCACATGTTAAATGAAAGAATTGTGATTCACAACACATGTCAAGTTAGCATTCAGAAATATAATTTTTCACACTACAACATTATTTAAAAGGTGGATTGTACATTTAAATTGAAGCAAATTGTAAAATTTGCAGTCAAGGTTTGACATAATTATAATTTTTATATAAAAGATATATATGTGTGTGTGTGTGTGTGTGTATTATATATATGCGTGTGTCAGCGTTCAGAAAAGACTAATTAAGGAAAACGTGCAACCTAACACAAGATTACAGAAATGCACAAACTCACTCAATGACTTTTTTTATCAGTGTCAAACAATTAAAAAGAATAGACATTTGTGGACTATCACAATATAACTGTTTGGATTAATTAATTACTGTAAAACAAAGAAAATAAAAAAAGAGACAAGCATAAAAACAGAAACAGATTGATCATCAAAGTTCAAACACATGCAAGGCACTAACCTAGACAAGCCTTAAAAAAAAAAAAAAAATAGAGGACCAAAATAAATTAAAAAATAAAAAAAGAGCAAAGAGAGCCAAGAGAAGAAGAATAGAGAAATAAATAAATAAACAAATAAGAAAATAAAAGAAGAGCCGAGAGAGGCGAGAGAAAAAGAAGAAAAGAAGAAGGAGAATAAAATAAAAATAAATAAATAAATAAAATAAAAGAAGAGCAAGAGCCAAGAGAGGCTAAGAGCCGAGAGAAGAAGAAGAACTGAAGAAAAGAAGAAGAAGAAGAATAGAGAGAAAAAAAAAAATCTGAGAGATCCAGGCCTCCGGCAGATCCGAGAAGAGAAGAAGAAGCAAGAAGGAGAGAAGAAGAGAGGGAAGGAGAACTTGCAGACGCAGATCCGGCAGATCCGAGAGTCCAGGCTTCGCAAATCAGGCTCGTCACTCTTGTCTTGTACTTCTCTGTCTCTTCTTTCTTTGCTTTTTGGTTCGTTTTTTTTTTTTTTTTTTTTTTTTCGTTTGTGACTTGTAAGTCTTGTATAGGTTTTGTAATAAACAAATAAAAACTAAGAATAAACAAATAATAAACCATACACAACCAAAATAATAACAAAATAATTAAAAAAAAAAAAAAAAAACTATCTTTCAAGCAGGCGCGCTAAAAGCCTTGCGCCTTTCTCTCACAGGCGCTCACCTAGTACAACAGAGTCGCCTTAAGCCTTTCAAGACGCCAAGGTGGCGCCTGGCGCCTCAGGCGCGTGCCTTCGCCTTTAACAACTATGCAAAAGACGCTTCGGAAAACTCCAAGTTGCTAGATCTCGAGCCTTTATCAAAAAGCTCGAGCCTTTGCCAAAAGGCTTGAGCCTAAACCTCCAAGGCTCGAGCACCATGAAGATTCATCCCCAAAATATTCTAAGTGTTGATGAAAAAGACGTTTCGGAAATTATTTGAAGAAAATAGACTAAGTGTTAAAGTTCTACTTGAGCCCTATCTCAAAAGGCTCGAGCCATATTTTCTAGGCTCGAGCCCTTGCTGTTTTGTCAAACTTTTTGGATGCGGGATTTGTCTTAATTAAGTCATCTTCCATCCTAGATGGGCCCAAATTACCCCAGAAGACCTAAAAGTCCGTCCAACCCTTATTACAAGTTAATTCTTCTATAAAAGGAGGCACAAGGCCACATATCTCATATCTCTTTTCCTAGTTATAATTCTCTCAATTGGTGGTAGCTTTTAGGGTTTCAAAGGTGAAGATCCCAAGACGAGAATTGCAGTCCGTGACCATGAAGACCACGACAACATTAATGACATCTAGCGTCGTCATGAGTAGCTAATTCCTTTCTTAAGGCATTGATGTAGCCCGAATTCAAGCATTATGGTTTAATCATTCTAACTTTGGGGATTTATGCATTTATGTATCTTGATTGCATAATTATGAGCAATTGATTACAAATCAATTGGTGTTTTAATGAAATAATGGTTTTTGAATAATTAATACCTTGTCTTAGATTTAATTGTTCATAAATTGTTATCAACCTATCCTTAATGTACGAGAAGGCGCCATAAGGGCTTCTCGGCAGTAAAGATAAAGATTATGCAATGGTGTTCCAACTTTTTTCATGAATGAATGTTTTCATAATCTATGCCTAGGGAAGACAAGTTATACTACAACATTAGTTAGAAGTACGTAGGTAGATAATTCGTGCCAACCGAAGATAGGTTGTAGTTATTTGAAGTTCATGGAACATCTTTCTTTAAACCCGAATTAAATGAATGTTATTGAGTTTAATTCATCTAATACATAAATTGTGAAATCCCAAGGTTGAATGGTTGACCATAATACGAGATTTGTGGTAAAGTCAATCCCTAAGACTTTCACTCTCTTGATCTTATCTTTAATTTAGTTTATTTTTATTTTTATGTTCGTGACAAACAATCAAAACATTCAATCTGTCTCCTTGAATCAAAGTAATATTAATTGGATGCTTAAATAAACTACGACAGTCTCTATGGTTCGACACCCTTAATATAGCCCTATTCTGCGAAGATTCGTACTATTGCGAATGGTTATAATTTGGTACACATCAAGTGACACGTTGAGAGGGGGCGACTAAATGAAGTCTAATAAAAGATGAGAGCAACCAGTCATATGGTCTAACGCTCCTGAATCAACAATCCAGGGACTATAAGCCAAAGACAGTAAACATTCGGATGCAACATCTGATTAAGCAGAGATAGCCATGGAAGATGACGATGACATTGTTGCTAAGATAAAAGCTGAGTATACTTGGCAAGTGGGATAGTGATCATGTCAGATTGGCAAGAAACAGAAACTTGGGTATGTGAAATTGGAACATCCTTTTTAAAAGAAACCTGATTTGCATAGCCAAACGATTTGCCATGAAGATTCCAACAATAATTGACAGTTATGTTACATAGACTAGGGTACGTATGTTGGACACGGGTATGTGTCGGACGTGTCAAATCTCCAAACAGAAGGACACAAGGACACGGCTAAACATTCATTTTATTAATTATTTTATTTTATTTTCTAGAAAGTAATGTTTTTATCAAATAAAATGTTCAAAATAGGCATTAACTCATTTTAAAGTACTAATACAATATAATTGAATGATTGGATATACTTTTTAAGTACATGTCCAACCAAAAGTGTCGGACACGTATCCCATACTCATGTCCGAGCAATAGATGTCCGATGCGGGTACTTCACCACTTTTGAAGAGTCCATGTAACATCGATTGACAGTATGATTCATCTGTCTGCAGTAAGTCCGTGGTTCCATATTAGATGAAGAGATCATAACACGAGGAAGAAATTGACTGAAAACTAGTTTGCCTAAAAAATAACTGACTGGCCAATAGAAACAAAGTTGGCTTACTGTCCAGAACTGAACTGGGCTGCTGAAACTGAACTGGCCTGAACAGAACAACAAAATTTTTCTTTTGCCGGAAACTAGACTTGCCGGAACTGGACTGGCCGGAAACTGGTCGGCCGGAAATTGGTTGGCCGAAAATTGGTCTGGTTAAGAGGATGATCCAAGTGGATCAAATCAGGCTGATCCAGTCGGGTCAATATTAGTGGGTAATGATTGGGCCGAGTCTTGTCTCCTCAAATGAATATTCAATAGCCTCATTTGCAAACGATAACCCTAGCCGCCGCAGGATAACAACTTTCTAAACGACATTGATCACTCACAACCAAGCGATAGCCACTACATGACGAGGGCCGCCACCACCACACACCTATTACACAATGACGATAACGACCACCATGATTACAACGATAATGACAAACACCACGACAGCAACAACCTATGGCGACAAATTTTATGTACGATGATGGCAGCGGTTACACTCTTGCTGGCGACAACGATCAATGCTAACAATGACGAGCGTTCATATTATTGACCAGAATCTTGCTCTAACAACATGTTGAATTTAGGAATTACCGAGAAGAAGGAGCAATGTGTATGGCATATGGAAAATATTTTGGAGAGTTACACAGCCGGCCCTCTCTCACTTATTTTATATAACAACTTATATTAAAAGGAAAATGACCAACACGCCCTTATAAGAAATACAAAATACGCCTATATACATTCTAACAATAATCAAAAACTAAAATCTTTATCTATAAGGATCGTGTTTGCCAATAAGACTACCACATTAATGTCATACTAGCACCCCTTGCAATGACTTCAGGGTATACTAATAATAAATAGCGTATTAAATCAACTATTACGTTTTATAATGTAATATATAATTTCTTTAGGGGCGCCATACTTTTTATCGTTGCATGCATTGCATGTACATCGATCACACCCACTTTGGTGCTCCTTAATAAAATATTAAGATACCAGACAAACTTGAAAATAAGTTTACACTACAAAAGGTATCTAATGCTAACATGTAATTTTCTTTAGAGGCACCATACTTTTTATCATTGCATGCATTGCATGTACATCGGTCGCACCCATTTTTATGCTCCTTAAAGAAATATATTATGATATCAGACAAATTTGAAAATAAGTTTACACTACAAAAGGAATCTAATGCTAACACAGAGCCTAATTTGTAAGTCAGAAAGTATAAAACTCAAAGGGCAGAGATGTGCTGATTTCTTTCATGACAGAGGTAAAAAGAATTACAGAATTAGGTACTTAGATAATGAGGCTGACCTCTTTAACACTCAAAGCTGCTCCACCTCTAGAATCCCCATCTAGTTTCGTCAAAATAGCACCAGTAATTCCAATTTCAAGATTGAATGATGTGACCAAGGCTGTAATTCATTTAAGATAATCAGAAGAAATTAAACCACAGAATTTGCAACAAAAGTATGCGGTCAGACGACTAGTGAATGTCTTAATAGGAAACCTAAGCTGTATGTGATGGTCTGTATAAACTGTCAACAGTATTTAGCACACACCAACAAGACTGATATTTCTCTCATAATTAAAACCTAAGGCTGCATTTGATGGTCTGTATAAACTGTCAACAGTATTTAAGCATCAATAGGACATTATAGTTATGCCTGCTTCTCTCATAAATTTGAGTGACACTGGATATGACAGTTTGCATCAAGAATACCAACAAGACATTGCAATGATAACTTCTTTAAAGAAGTTTAGAAATTGCAATATATACAACAATTTCCTTTTCGTTGTTGAAAACAAATATTAAAAACAATAAAATTTGGTACAGAATATTGTAAAAGAGTCACCAGCTACATGGTGTAAAGAAGGAAGGGTCCATACCATACACCTCTCAGCATAGAGAAACACCCAAATTACACTTGCACAAGAGAGAGAGAGAGAGATGGTAGTAAAAACTCAAGGGTGATTATTTAAAAGGTACCCTGAAACTTCTTTTCCCTCATAATGACGAGAGAAAGTTGGCAACTGATTTATTTATTTTTAATTAATCACCCAATTATAATTTAGCAAAAATAAACACGAACACGCGAAAATGAAGACAACTTAATGCCCAAACCAAAACTTAAAATTGATGCAAAACAAAAAGGACAAATCCTTTAGATAAGAAATGAATTATAATGAATATCAATAATAAATCTAGGAGAGAAAGACAAATAACAAATCAATTTTGACTTCCAGTAATACTAAATTATCACAGTTATGTTATGCAGATATCAGATATAATTCTCTTTTTGAAGTTCTTGATTGCTATATTTTGTTAAAAGGTTGGCACGAGGGTAATATACAATCTTCTTACTTGTCACGTTATGCAGGTGTCAACCATAATGTTTGAAGCTGATGAATGTTTTCATGATCATCAAATAGAATCTGCCTACATGAAATTAACAGCAGTCTCTAAAAAGTGCAAAGGGTTCATGGTAAACTTCATTTAGATGGGTCTGATGCTGCCCAATACATTCTGAAATTAGGTAAAATGCCTCATTATTGACAGTCACTATCATTCCCACAATGAATGCAAAAGAAAACATCACTCTATGGCAATTTTGTAGTATATTCAACATTGTTCTATAGAAGGGCTTTAAATTATTTATTTAAATTGGAAGCTAATACACACAACATGAACCAAGTTGCTGTCGCGAGTAACTGTGAGCTAAATATTCAAACAATTTAGCTCAAATGGAAAATAGCAAATAAAATATTTACTGAAAATAAAAAGGACACAAATAAAGGTCATGATACAAGACATTAACTAAAATAGAACTTCATCAGACTCCAATGAGCAGCGGTGGAGCCAGGAATTTAATTTAGTGGGGGCAAAGGCCAAGATAATTTTCCGTTTATTTAACCAAAATTAAAATATGAAAAGGGTTTTCATAATTAGAACGTTGCATGATAATTTCTTCTGATACATGAGATAATCCCAGTAAATTGGAAGATTCTATCGTAGTTTTAATTATTTGAAAAAATAATTCACAAAAAAATCAACCCATTGATGTTAACAAAATCCTTACCATTTTATTTGTGACCTAAAATGAAATTTTTATTCACAAAGAGTGAGATTAGGTGAGAAAAGAGTATTAAGGGTTTTCCTTTACGGGCTTAGGGTCAAGAAATATATTGAAAGAAGACTTTTATAGTTCTTTCTTCTTGCTTCTGTCCTAGAGAAAGAATAAGAAGGTGAAAGAGAGATATAGAGATGACTAATGTAGAGGAGGTTAACTAGATGTGAGTTATGGGGAAGTGATGTGCAAAGAGGCTTTATGAGAGGAAAATAATAACTAATAAAAGAAAGGGCTGAAGGATTGAGGTTCAAGGCTTCTTTTTTTGGGTTTGGGTGGGGGGGAGGTGGTTGTGGTAAATTTTGAAGTTGAGGCAATTTTATAATTTTGAAAATAACTGATAAAAGAAAGGGCTGAAGGATTGAGGTTCAAGGCTTCTTTTTTTGGGTTTTCTTTTTTTGGGTTTGGGTTGGGGGGGGGGGGGGGGGTGGTTGTGGTAAATTTTGAAGTTGAGGCAATTTTATAATTTTGAAAAATTATATATACAGACCTAAAATATTAAAAAATATATAAAATCGAGTGGGGGTGATTGCACAAAACTCTATGTGGTTCTGCCACCGGTAACAAGCAACTAAGTTTGAACACCTGCAGCTTCTTGGCCGGTCATTGCATCCACAACAAGCAAAACTTCTGTAGGCTTCAGTGCCTGTTTAACTTCTTTTAGTTCATCCATCATTGCTTTGTCTATCTGATGAAAAAAAAAAAGAATAAGACCTAGAGGGGAAATATTACCAGTAGCAGTAAAGGCACACCTATTTGAACTATCTTGAAAACTACCAGAATATTTATGATATAACCTGAAGTCTTCCAGCTGTGTCCATTATGACCACATCCATATTCTTCCTTTTGGCCTCTTCTAGACCCTGCCTAGCTATTTCTGCAGGTTTAACCCCAGCCCCTGCTGTATAAACAGGCACATTAACCTGTCCCAAGCTTACCACTGAATATGAGAATGAATTAAATGGTCGAAGTTGAATAGAAAATAAACGATAACACGTCACAAAGCAAAATAATGAATAAAACAACCACTCAGAATTATTTCTTTCTGGCTAAAGATCACCTAATAGTTTCAAGTATAAGGTATGTTGGTCCTAGTAGCTAGTTGTCAATGGTTTGCCCTTTCAATGTCAAAGGTGTGTTCTCAGGTCCATTTCTTGTTTTGTTTCTATCTCTGACCTGCATTAATCTCTAAACATTGTTTCAAAGGTTGCATTATATTTCTCTAAACACTTGAGGTCCTTTGAAGTCCATTGGAGAAGGTACATTACTTTTAAAGTGGCAGAAGATGTCAAAAGTTCATTCTCAAGTCTATTTCTGGTGTATCTTTCTGGTTGATACCTGCATTGTTCACTTCTGTCATGATCAAGGATAGATATGTAATTTCCAGTGTGCTTTAGATTATTTCAAGTGCATCAAAGATGGTGCTTTGTGTCAGGAAGTTACTTCTCTGGCTAATCTGCTTTCAATTCTGGTTTTGCACATGAATATTGGTCACAATCACTATCAGAGGCAATCCAGTCTTTTCACATGTGCATATGTTCATGTTATGCTTGCCTGGGATGATTCAGTGTGCTTGGGAGCTCAGATTTTCAATTTCCAGACTTCTTCATGGGCTACATTACAGTTTAGCACAGTTCTTTGACAAGTGTCCACTTGAAGGGCACTATGGTCTTTTCAGTCTGAAGAACAGTGGGTTGACACGTATACAATGGTCCTAGAGGGAGAAAAAGATGGCTGTTATACATTTCTTAGGCAATAAGTCTGTGTGTATCACAGAATTGCTATACAGGAGCTGTCAAAAGTGAAGGTTCACTACATGACAAAAGTGAAGGGATTGGCAAGGGCAAATCTGTCATTTCCTTTTGTGAATGTCAGAATATTCTTCCTCAAATGATTGGATAAGAATGCCACATATATTGCCTCATTAGGGTTGCATCATCTTGTGAATGTGTGCCGATAAATATACCCTTATAACTGCTGAAGAAGAGTGCACCATGGGAGGCCAAGAAGTGAGCTGCCATAGAGAGTTTTTTGAGAGCCAAGAATGAGCATAGTGTTTCTGAGTTTTCATTGTTGATTCAAGCCCAAATCCACCCCAGAATGCTAGATTGAAGACCATATATTCTTGATGATACATATGGAGGTGGCAGATAATAATTTTCCGGTGCAAAGGTGAGGTTGAAGAGGTCCAAAGTTGCAGTGGTCACTTCTGGGGCTGATGCAAGTTTTAGACAAGTGTATTTGTCCATTTAACATCTGCAGAAGGTGCTCACATGTACACATTTGAGCTGCAGTAAGTTTTCATATCTCAAACCTACTCAAATCTGGTTTTCTGCTGTTTTACTGTTGTTATTGCACTTATTGATAATATATCTTGCTCTCTCATGGATGTCTATAATTTGAGCATGATTATGAAGTTGATTTAAGGCAGTACAATCTCATATTTGTCTCAGAAAAGTGACCATAAGGATTTTGAGTTATCAAACCTGTGAAAAGGTTTTCTGCAGAAATAGGCTTGATCTGTGTAGTATTTTGAGTATAGCTTGTTGTGATTGTGTTGACCATCATTTGTACAAGTTTGCTTTGCTGAATCAAGTCTATCAGAATCGTCTATGAGAATCACGTTCAGGTCAGGTCTCAGGTGAAATTACCCTTTTACCCCTCAGTCACAGATTTTACAGAAAATAAGGGATTGAGTACTCTAAGCTGTTTTAGGTCTGTTTTGAGTACTGGAAATGTTATAACATGCCACTCTTGGTGTGATTATCTTTTGAGCACGTGTATTTAACTGAAACAAGGTTGTGGGAACCAAGCTTTGAGGTGTTTTGTTGAGAATTGACAGTTTTACCCTTCAGACCTTGATAGCTAGGATTTTCTGGTGCATAAGCTACTGTTTTGAGCTGAATTCTTTGTTACCTTGCTATACGCTTCATGATCATCATTTGAGCAAGGGTAGATTGATGTTTGGGAACATATAAGCAATTGATTGAACTGAACTAGGATCTATTCTGGTTCTTAATCTTGAAGACCAAGCCTGTTAAAGGTTTTCTGCAGAAAACTAGTCCTGTTATGTACTGAATGATATACCTTGCTTCTTGCTGTGAGTTCATCTCTTTAACAAGTGTATTTAGTTATTTGAAGACTCTGTAAACCTACCTCAGGCCTGATTTGAAGCTGCATTGAATAATGTCTCCTCAAACCTTGACTGTTAGGGTTTGTTGTAGAATTTAAGCCTGTTGTGTTCTGTTATTACTATACCTTGCTATGTTCATTGTATCTGTCATTTGAGCAAGTGTGTATTGAGGTTTCAAGGCTGTGGAAACAAAGGAAGGGTCTATGGTGAAGCTGCATTGTGATTTGATATATCAAACCTCAGATTTCAAAGAAGTTGAGCTAGGGGTTCAATTGTTCTTCATCTTTGAGCTGTGATTTCATTCTTACTATATGTAACAGCCATTTTATGAAGTTGAATTTGATGAGCTGTGAGAGCTTGCAGGGTCCAAGCAGGGTTGCTTAGGACAGGGGGAGTGTTGTTAAGCACCAAGTAGAGCTAGTGTGTGGGTAGAGGCTGTGAAAACTAGTTTTCATCTTGTACAAGGGTGTGTGCAGAGAGTGAGACAGCTGAGTGTGTAACTACTTGCATACAACTAGTGGAGATTGCCAAGAACCAAGGTTTTTGATCCCCAAGTTGAGTGGGGGTTTTCCTTGTAAAATCACTGAGTACTTGTGTTTGAATGTGTGAGCCTTCATCTCTCATATTGAACCTACAATTTGTCCAAGTGCTGGAAGAAGATTTACAAAAGACCAATTCCCCCCCCCCCCCCCCCCCCCCCCCCCCGGTTCCGGTTAATCAAGATAACACTTCTTTGAGACTACAAAGTAAAACTCATAAAACATCTTACTATGTCTCAGTCTTAACCAAGAGAACAATCAGATAAGTGGCACAACTTCCAAAACATATTACTTTAACTAAATTAAACTTATTTTACTTTCACATCATTCCAGAACCTTGATAAATTAAACTTAAAGAGCAAGCAAGAAGGGTCTATGAAATACAAAAGCACAGCTGGCAATACCTTAAGCAAGACATTTAATTGTAAGATAAATTCCAAAATCACCTCTGAGCTGATTGCAGGCCCGCAGAAAGAAATCTATTCAGATATGCTAAAAATGCTACTCATACGGCCACCTTCCCCTATTTAATCATTTATAAGGGAATTGTAGATTAATTGACCATTGACATGCCATTGGAGTTGGAACTCCCAAGGCACACATTTGGAGACTTAAACAACATGGAGGGAAGTCTGCTGTTTGAAATAATATGTTCAGGAAATTCAAACCAGTATTAAATAAGGTCCAAAGTAATGTGAGGTCAAAATAAAATATGAGTAAGAGCATCCATGTAATTTGTCATCCTGAAGTAAGAAAAAGTTGGCTCGTTCAGCATTAACCCATCAAAAGTAAAGAAAATGATATCAGACTGTCGTGCCTGGTATCTTGTTAATGGAACTAATGGAGATAATTTTGATATTCTACATTCTTCTTTGACATCTTCAACAAAATCAACATAGAAGGAAAACATAGTAGAAAGCTATGGAATTGGAACATGTCATGGACAATAAAAGTCACATACCTGTTCGCCCAAAATAACAAGTTGGTCAATGGCAGCAGGCCTGTACACATCTCCAGCAATCAGCATGCAACTCTTCCCCTGAGATCCATGTCATATCATAGCTACAATAGACTAACAACAAAGTAACACATGCAGGCACCAGCCACACAAACATGTGTGAGCTTGTGTGTGTGAGAGGGAGAGAGATGCGTTTGGAAACACACCTGCTTCTTAAGATAAAAAGCTAATTTTGCACAAACAGTTGTCTTTCCAACACCTTGTAGACCAGCCAATAAAATTACAGTGGGGCCAGATTTTGCAAAAACCAATTCAGAAACCACTCCACCCATCAATTTTACTAGTTCATCATGTACAATCTGCACAAACCAGTAAATTTCTTAAACACAGTTCAGCACCAAAGATTCATTTATGTAAAATAACAAAAAACTTACTAGTCATTTTGCCCCACTTATAGTGATTTAAAGATGAGAGTGAACCCATTACCTCATCATTATATGATATGGTCATAACTCCTAAACAACAACAACTACAACAAAGCCTTTTCCCAATTACGTGGGGCTACATGAATCCCATATTTCCATTCCGATCATAACTCATAAACAAGCATAAAAATTCCTAACCAACAATTAACAATTACTTGCTCACAAAAGAATCTTGGATGGAATGAAATAAGTCCTAATATAATTTAGAAATGGAAAAAAGAAAGATAACTAAACCAAAGAAATAATAATTATTTGAGTAATTTGACAGTTCACTGACAATATCCACCTGTAATGATGGTTCAAGGCTTCATTCATATAGAAAGATTACAAGATACCCACATTATCAGTAAAACACTTAAGCCAAGACTTTCATCAAGTTCATACCAAGTTTCAGTTCCACAACACTAGCATGTGGGATCTTCATCATATACAGTAACATTGGAACGCATTATTAAGCACACAAGATCACTTTTTATGTACCAAGGCCTGCACCTAGTGGTACTTCCTCTCGTTTCAAAGTGAAAGGTAGAGGGTTCAAGTCTCCCCAAGAGCATTGTGGAGTCCTTTGCCATGAATATACATACATACATTCAACACTATGTTACCTGGACTAAGGTAAGTGTATCGTGTGCGATGTGTGTCTAAGTGTTGGACCTCCTCAAATCCACATCCCAAGGTACGAAGATATGCATCCAAACGTTGGATACGGGTATGTAGACATGTATTACGTATTTATATACATTACATGTTTTTCATTAGTTAATGTTTAATATTGTTGTTTTATAAGAATAAACTCAATTATTACTCAAATTTAATGGAATGTGGTAGAAGAAAAGGGTTTCCATATATCTCATAAAGAAAAACTCATATTTGCTATTAAATTTGAGTTTCTTCTTCCTCTTTAATATTGCCATGTGAAGGATCGGGGTGTCTGATTCAGGTTCATGCATTGGACACATATTCTATACTCATACCCATGTTGTGTAGGGTCGTGTCGTGTCGACACAGGTAGATGAAGGAAAAAATGTGAGTCCATGTAAAAGAGATTCAACAGTTTAGTTGAACTTCTGGTTCAATAAAAGCGCTGGAATGGTTTCTTTTTAATAAGTAATAGATATGCATACTTTGACCAGTTGCTGATCTGGTCTCACTCCTCGAATCAAGCCAACACCAACAGCCTGTTCGCTTACAGCTTGGACAAACCTCCTCACTACAGGAAGGCTTACCTGTTAATAGAATAGAGTTATATTTGAGACACAGTATAAAAAAATGTTATAATATAAAGACTCAATTGCAACTGTTAAACGCAAAATTACAAATATTACAATATAGAATCACTTACATCTGCTTCTAAAAGAGCTCTCCTAATGTCTCGCATAGGTTCCACAATGTTTTCCTTCGTTAATACCTCTGAAAGATAAGGAAAATGCATAATAAAATTATTCAATGCTAACAAAAACAATCTATTAGGGGTAAGAAATTCCAAATTCAGATCCATGTCGACAATTTTGACAAGAATGGCCTAAATTCTACCCTTCTTCTTTTTCTTTTTCTTTTTTTTTTTTGGGGGGGGGGGATTGGGAGAGAGAGAGAGAAGCCAGCACCAAGTGTCTACTTTTCTTGTAAAGATCTTAGTTCTGCCATTAAACTGGAAGAACAGACACAATCGTTGTTCTTTGCAAGGACCACAAATGTAGTTCAGCAGATAAAAGATATTCCCAAGTGATGGCATCTAGTACAGACACGGGTTCGAGAGGAAAAATACACCTCTCTAGGTCATAAGGTTATTTGTCATTAGGCTGCAACAAAATAATTGATTAAACTACAGAGACAATGCCAACACACTTCTAAGTTATAGGGAAATGTTCAAATTGTTAAAAACAATTGGAAGTTAATCTTTCTCAAATGCATAAGCATTTAATGAATTGAAATTCTCCTATTCTAGCAGATTCCTGACTAGTGTCGTTGATTAAGACCAATAGTACACTGTATCAACTCTTCAATAAATCACAATAGACAAAACTCAAAAGTTGTCTATTTTGTAGGTTGGCGTGCCATAAATCTTGTGGACTCCAGAGAATGAGATAATGTAAAACTAGCCTTCTCCAGTGCACAAAGTGACAAACAAATTATGCAATCTGGAATGTGATTCTCTTAAATCATATTCTCGATCCCTTCAGTCAAGCAGACTACATTAAATTGTCTTGGATTTCTATTTTTGTTCCCTAAAGTATAAGCCTAAATATCGATGGTCACATGATATCACAAAACCATTATTCTGGTATTAAAGAAAGAAATAGCTTCATTAAAATGAAATGAAACCAGCATAGCTGTTGCAGCCCTTGAGAGTTGATATCTTGAATAATATTATAGATACTATTTTGGACTGGACATATCCATTCATGAACAGAACAATCTCACCTTTATTTTTTCCTGCTGTATAAGTATTTGCATATAATCAAATGAAAAGGCGTCCTAATTATGGCTACACATATAATTCCTCAGTCTCTTTCTTTTGCTCCGCATCTATGCTACTAATTTAAGGTAGAAGGTCAAATCATGTACTTATAGGCTTATACTAAAAAAATAAAAATAAAAGGGAGAAGGAAATTAACGGCCTTATGCTTGAAAGGAAAAGTAATAAGAAAATTCCATAGCACTCCACCATAAGCCCATTAGAACTAATTAGCAACTAATAGAGTACCGCATACATAAATTTAACTCAAATTGGATTAAAGATCAACAACATGACAGAAAATGTTCTTCAATTTCACCATTACTATGCAAAAATCAATCATCAGTATTACATAACTCATTTCTATTATCTCGTCCTATAACCAATTGGCATACTATATACAGACACATACACTCACACATAAAACATGAGAACGAATAGAGGAGAAGCATAAACCTTCCCCTTTGAGCTTCTTCCACGCTGCTTCGAGGCCACCCGTAAGCTGACCGAACATTTCGGCCCTAACAACACTGCTCCTTTCTCTTCTAACAGTAAGAACACCCTTAGAATTCACCAAGCCCCAAATATCCCTCTGTTGGAACAATTCAAAAGACCAACAACTGACATCATAAAAGTTGCTTGCTTGTTAACCGAAATGCATGGTGCGATGAAGTTTGTTCGTTGGCTACTTACAGTGAAAGAATTTCTTGAAGAGAAGGCAACGGAGAGAGTTGAGGCAGTCCATGGAGAGGAGCACATGCTGTTGGTCGATTTTCTAAAATCGGAGAGGGTTCTATTTTGCGGGAGTGAAGTTGAAGTTGCAGAGAAATGACGGGAAGCAACGGATGAGAAAGGTACGGTGCCTTCCATGGCTGAAGACGATGAGACGAGCTTGCTCTCTCGCTATAATGAAATAGTATTTACCTAATGTGTAATGCTGGTTGTTTGTCCGGTTTTTATCCATTGGAGCAGAAATGTTATGCAATCCCTCCTTCTATCCGATCGATGTCTCAGATACGGTACCTGCCAGACCATCGTAGTTCTTGGTGTAGCAACAACAGACGCCCTCCGATGCATTTAAGGGATTCAAAAACGGATGACCACGGGCGGTTGACATGAGATATGTTATGCATTATGTTTTTAATTCATATCAAAACAAACATTGTGCAGTGTTTTGGATAAAAATTAAAATAGTAACGAAAATTTGTTTTAAGAAATTTAGAAACAGAAACATAGAAAACAAAACATTAGGGCCACGGGAATAATTCCTGATTTATACTTTTAATTTCTAAAATTGAAAAGTAAAATTAAAAATCATGATAAAGTAATTTTACTTTTTTTCTTCGAGAAAGTATTTTCTCTTTTAAAGAAGAAAGAAAAAGTGACAATTTGATACTTTCATTATTTTCTCCACTGTAAACATTAATTACTTTCTCTAGTATTATCCCAACAAAATTATTGTACTACCCCTTCTTCTTCCTCTAACCATCATCCTTTCCTGTCGCCAAGACCCACGCCACAACCACTGCAAGTTTGGAATCGGCCGATCAGTGACCGGCGACGGAGGGGACATCAACTCCTTTCTCTTCTTCTCTCTAACACCACAAACCGCTGCCGATCATCCAATGAAGACTGAAACCTCTTCCTCCTTCTACTGTTGACTCATTATCTCATCACCCCGATTTCTTCCAATTTCAGACCACTATGGCTCAATTTCTTCCAATTTCAGACATTTGTGCCTCAATTTCATCGGATCGCTGGACTGATGTAGGATTTGGACTGACGATTTCCTCTATCAAACTTATCTATTTCTCTATTTTCAACCACATCAACTACTTCTTGATTCCGGCGTCGTTGTTGCCAGAGAAGAAAAGAGGCCATAACTTTAGGACAAGAGATTATTCAACCAGGAAAAGGTAACGGACGACCAAAAATTGATGATAATTACATTGTCTACAACAAGGGTTTGTTTACATGCCTTTTCTACTCTGTGCATGCCAAAGAATTGAGATGACACTTATATGTACGGAGGAACAGATGAGCTCTTTAATCTTTATCAGGTTCTTCTTCGGAGTCATAGTTTCATGCCCTCACTTTTTTCTATGCTTAGTTCGCCGTTGAGAAAGCCAGACAATTATCATCAAACCCAGATACCCTTTTTAGAGAGAGAAAGATGACTACGAAAACAAAAATAAATTTATAATTTATTGAACTTACTTTCTATTTTTTTGCTTTCAAAATATTGAAAGTAGAAAAAATTATTAAACATGATTCCACTTTTTATTTCACTTCAAGGAATCAAAATCATGATTTTACTTTTAGAGAAGTAAAAATAAGAAAGTAAAAGCGTTAATAAACAGGCCTTAGGGATCCATTTAGTAACGAGAAATGTTTTTTGTTTCTGTTGTCAGTCCCTAAAAAGGCAAAACAAAAACAAAAAACGTCTTTAATAATATGTTTTTGTTTACGTTTTTCATATTTGTGAAGAAAGGAAGAAACATAAAAAATGTGTTTCTCATGTTTTCAACACTGTTAAACAAAAATGTTTTTACTATTATTATTATTACATATAAACTGTTCATTTTTATTCATGTTATATACTAATTCTACATATTAAATACTAATAAAAATAATTTTTTAATATACAATTATATTATATTATACATTAGGGTAAATTATATTTTATTTAACAAAAATATATTTTTAAAATATAATATATTATATAATAGTGAAAATTATTTTTTGGGACAAATAAAATTTTGATTTATTATATATTTATTATTTATTTTATATAATATTATTAAATTATTATGCAATGGATATAATATATTATTATACACCATATCTATATTATATTATATTATATTATAGTTATATTATTTAATATTTTTTATTTATTATAATATAATATATGTTAAATATATTATATATTTTATAATAAATGTATAGAAGATGCATATGCATGCACTTATATACATAATTGGTGTGAGTGTTTTTGTCCTAATATATCTTATTTTGTATTTTGTATTGGATATTATTAGAATTTGTGATTTTAAATTAAATATTATATTTTATTATCCTGCATTGGATATTTTTAATATTTGTGAAATAACTTAATTGCATAAATATTTAAGGTTTTTTTTGTACTAATGAAAAAAATTAAAATTAAAATAAAATAATTAAAAAAATGTTACGTAAATCTGTAACAAATATGCATTATTAAACACTGCTATTATTTTCTGGTTTCAAAATTGTGACAACAACAAGTGTTAATAAACGTTATTTTTGTTTTTTTATTGTCATTCGAGAAAACAAAATTATATTTATGTTTTCTTGAGATTGCAAAAACAGAAAACGAAAACATTATCAAATGCACATGTCAAAATTTCTGAATCAATAACATAAAAACTGTTTTATTTATGTTTTGAAAAAATAAATATATATTAATACAATTATAAGTTTTTATTTTTTTCTTAAATGATATTTTTTATAAATATAGAAAATAATGTACAAAAATAAAGTGAGCGCATACTCTCACCAGCAACAACTAGATCCCTAAACAGGATGAACATATCAAGGGCATACCCTTGATAAAAAAATAAAAAAGAAATAAATTCTCAACTCAAATGATATTTTGGAGGCATACCCCAAGACATCCAACGCTTCCGATAGGATACATTTCACTAATTCTCTAAGAACTCTAAATTTAGAATTATGTATCCTATCATTTCTTTCACACCATACAAAATATAAAGTAGCAGTAAAAATCAGCCTGACTAATTTATTTTTGTTAGTTCTTGCTGAGTAAATTGTTGAACTAAACCCAAAATGGATTCTTCTCTCTTGAAATCCCATTGGCATACCTCAAAAAATCCATCCCACACTTCCTTCACATATTCACAATTACAAAACAACTGGTCAATACTCTCTTCATTCTGCTTGCACATGAAACAAATGGAAGCTAGTGCGATTCCTCTTTTCTGCAGATTCTTACTTATGATCACAACATATTGAAGAACTAGGACTGTGTGAATAGACCATCTAGGTCTCCCACCATTCCAGCACAAACAATTCCAGAAAACCTCTAGTCTCTTCACTCTTGTAGGCTCTCGGGCTATCCTAAAAGAGAACTTTTTGGATTGCCACATCAACTGATCCAAACTTCCATGGATTTTGAAACCTGGTAAATTCTTGAACACACCTTGCGTATCTGCAACAAACTTAGTTGCACCCCATTGCTGATCCACCATAAACTCACTCAAATATATTAGCTTGTCCCTGCTAAGTTGTCTCACACCTCTATTTTTGAACCTTTCTGTCACAAATAGGCCATCACACCAGGGGTCCATATAGAGCTTTATGTTATGTCCACTCCCTACTCTATATCTGCAATTTAGTTTGACAACATCCCTAATAGAGATAATGCTTTTCCAAATTGAAGAATATGAGTCTTTAGACACCACATGCCAAAAAAAAGAAAAAAAATGCCTTCTTCAAATAAAGCTTCTTATACCAAGCCACCCAAAGCCTGTTTTTAGATAAAACAAAGTCCCAAGCAAGCACTCATTTGGAAGCCTTATCAACATCTGTCACGCCCCGAATTCGACTCGAGTTGCGAAGAAAAAATAAAAATAAAAATAGATAATTAAATAAATAATTAATTAATTATATTCACTTGAGTAAATAAATAATTAATTGGAGAAAACCGTTGTCATCCACCACATAAATAATAATAATAATAATAATAATGGTTTCATAAAATAAATAATAGCATGATTAATTAACCATTTATATTAGACTATCCAAATGAACCCACATGTACACAACTTAAACAATAATTGTTCAATCCCACTATATAAGTCATGGCCACCATGGCCTCATTACAATCCATAAGGTGATAAATAATGTTAAGGGATTACATGAGTAAAGATAAGAGAGGAAATTCCATAAGAACTCCAAAAGATAAATGAGTGAGTTCCTACGTCATTTCCCTCTTCCAAAAGAATATTACAAACATGTCATCAAATATAATATCCAAAATACACCGTGTGTCAAAATACAAGTCCAAAAGTAAGTTAAACAATGGATGTCACAATTATCACAAGTAGCTCAAAAATATTGTCAAGATCCCAATCAAGCTAGGGATGAGGAACCTCCTCTTGGGCAATGCCATTTCCTGAAAAATATAAGAATCAACTGGGTGAGCAACGAATTGCTCCGTAGGAATGTCTCATGAATATAAACTAGGTTTCTTAAAATTCTACAAACATTGCATGGTCATACAATATAAGGAACATGCTCCCTAACATCCAGTCTCAAGGGGAACCTAAACAGGATCATCCTAGTCTAGCATAAATAATATTAATTCATTCATCAAAACAAACATAAATAATATAGTGTAATGTACATAAATTCACAAGTTGCAATAACACATAAATGCCAACTTGAAAATAAAAGTCGAAATCAATTAACGGGATAACTCGAAACACACCCACACTCCCGGTCACATAGCCATGCTATATGCCTAAATAAAAATAGTCGTTTTCAAATTACTAGTCCGCCGAAAACTAACCGATTGGCCAATATAAAGTAGGGAAACTCTTGTTTCACCCGCGAGCGCCGAGCCCTCGCATTCTCAAAGTAACAACTCCCGAGTATCTCCCAAAATCAACAAACAAGTCCACAAAATAATCCATATACCATGATATGTCCAAATTGCACTTCACATGCGCACATAAATTATACTAATCACACAATCCATGTCATATGGTCCAAATCACTATAATGGCATACTCTTTGATGAAATGTCAACAAATTGGGTATTTTAAAGTTATTTAAATTCATGTTATCATTATATCAAATTTCAAGTGTGTAAAAGTTTAACATCATTATAGAAATATACATTTTCTAAATTATCCTTCACAAAATAACAAATACATGATAATTCCATGAATAAACACAA